GAAGAAAAAGAAGAAAAAAAAGGAAAAAAAAGAAAGAACAAAAATCAAAAAGAAAAAGGGACAAAAAGCACATGCAAATATTCCCTAAAGATAAATGGCACATCAAGCTTCAAACTATGAGATTGATCAAGCACAAACATTCCCGAATCACTGAATCACTTCACTCGAAGATCATAGAGCATCAAAAGAGAGACATTTTGAGCAAGACATGATTGAAGGCATCAGAATGAATTGATCCTTGGTTCAACACCCTAAAACACTTGTTTGGGCCTATTTATCCTTTTCTTTCATAACCATGAACCTTGGCCTACATTACGTGCCTTAAAAGTCCCTTCTAATCATACATGGATTTTTAAACAGAAGAGACTATCTTCATATTTCATCCTGCCCATCAGGATTAATCTTTGTTTGCAAAAAACAATGTAATTAATGCATGGTAGAAAAAAATAACAAAGGGGGGTTCAAGACGTAAATCTTGAATAACGTCTTGAAACCAAATGAGGATTCGAGTTGAAAATCTGAAAAGACGGCTCGAATATAAAAATTTTCCAACTGAGGCGATCACACAAATTCCTTGATAAGGCATCGCACAATCCAAATGTGACCATGAAAGATGGGAGTCGGAGAACACTTCCAGTAGAGGAGCATGCAAGCTACCCCATCAAACCTTTGAGCATCAAATACCAAACCTTTGAGCATCAAATCCCAAACCTTTGACCAAACATAATAACCTGAGACATTTTTATCCTTTCCTTACTTAACCATTTCCCAAAGATAGCTTTGATCTTGGCACGTGTCAAATAGCTATAATTTATTGAAGGATTAACATTGTAATTAAACATTTGATATCCAATGAACTCTAGTTTTATGATTCGTCTCAATTGTAAAACTGTGAAAGAGACAATATTTTCAAAACTTTTGATTAAACATTTTTCGAAACTCTTTATTGATATTTTCAGAACTTTGAAAATAAAAGAGAAAGAAAAACATTTTTTCAAACAAGACAGTCTCTATAGAGTGGATCTTGGTAAATGACATGTGACTCTTAGACACAAAACTCATGCTCAGAATCAATGCTGAAGCAAGAAATGAGGAACATTTGGGGCATCTTTGAAGATTCAACATCAAATATTGGGGCATTTTTTGATATTGGGGCATCATTTGGGGATTCAACATCCTAATGCAAATTATCAGACCTTTTTCAGGAGATAAAATATAACCAATTCATGTTACATGCATCTTATGCATACATTTTAGAGCATCATATTTATCATTTTCCACATATATAATTTTTTGCAGTTTTTAGAGTCAAGTTTCGACTTCAAGACGAAGGATACTCGATTCGAAAGCACCTTTAAAGATTCATGTTGGTTGCTTAACTCAGCAGTAAGAAGCTACACTTCGACCAACTCGACAGATTGAAAGTTTCTCTCGAAACAACATGATTTGCTCGAGAGTGGAGTTCAACTTCACAACGAAGGGACGGCTGGTTGTTAACAAATGACATCCCAATTTCAGAGCCAATTTCAACTTCACTGTGAAGGATATTGGACTCCAGACAATGCAAGTTCAACTTCACGACGAAGGGACCACTGGTTGTCAACAAACAACTTCTCAATTTCAGAGCCAATTTCAACTTCACAATGAAGGATATTGGACTCCAGACAACGCAAGTTCAACTTCACGACGAAGGGACCGCTGGTTGTCAATAAACAACTTCCCAATTTCAGAGTCAATTTCAACTTCACAGCGAAGGATATTGGACTTCAGACAATGCAAGTTCAACTTCACGACGAAGAGACCACTGGTTGTTAACAAACAACTTCTCAATTTCAGAGCCAATTTCAACTTCACAACAAAGGATATTGGACTGCATACAACGCAAGTTCAACTTCACGACGAAGGGACCGCTGGTTGTCAACAAACAACTTCTCAATTTCAGAGCCAATTTCAACTTCACAACGAAGGATATTAGACTCCAGACAACGCAAGTTCAACTTCACGACGAAGGGACCGCTGGTTATCAACAAACAACTTCTCAATTTCAGAGCCAATTTCAACTTCACAACGAAGGATATTGGACTCCAGACAACGCAAGTTCAACTTCACGACGAAGGGACCGCTGGTTGTCAATAAACAATTTCCCAATTTCAGAGCCAATTTCAACTTCACAACGAAGGATATTGGACTCCAGACAACGCAGGTTCAACTTCACGACGAAGGGACCACTGGTTGTCAACAAACAACTTCTCAATTTTAGAGCCAATTTCAACTTCACAACGAAGGATATTGGACTCCAGACAACGCAAGTTCAACTTCACGACGAAGGAACCGTTGGTTGTCAATAAACAATTTCCCAATTTCAGAGCCAATTTCAACTTCACAGCATAGGATATTAGACTCAAGACAACGCAAGTTCAACTTCACGACGAAGGGACCGCTGGTTGTCAATAAACAACTTCCCAATTTCAGAGCCAATTTTAACTTCTCAGCGAAGGATCTTGAACCCAAGGCAACACAAGCTCAACTTCACGACGAAGGGGCGGCTGATTGTCAACAAAATTTCATTCAGAGTCAATTTCAACTTCACAGCGAAGGATATTGGACTCGAGACAACACAAGTTCAACTTCACAACGAAGGGATGGCTGGTTGTCAGCAAACAATTTCCAGGTTCCAGAGCCAATTTCAACTTCATGACGGAGGATATTGGACTCAGAACAATGCTACTTACATGGATTTCAACTTCACGACGAAGGATATCCAATTTCAGGCTCAACTTCACGACGAAGGGGTCACCCGCGGTTTCAACTTCACGACAAAGGGAATCGTGCACACAAGCATCATCCATCTTTAGATTGGATTTCAACTTCACGACGAAGGATATCCAACTCAAAGAAGGAGTATCTGTCAACAAAGACCTTCGAGTTCGACTACGCTCAGCTCCAATGCACATTATTTACAACATAACTCAAGGCTAGAAGGGTTATCTGCCATCAAAATTGTCGAGTTCGATTCCATTCAGCTCGATGACACATCAATCGCACTACTTTCCGATTGCAGTCGAGGTTTTCAAGTCGAGAAGAGGACTTGGGTTAACCGTGCTTTAGTGACAAGCAACCATTTTCAAGCAAAATCTATCTGTCAATGAAGATTTCTGAGTTCGACTCCGATCCAAGGTCTTTAAACCGAGAAGAAGACCGAAGGGCAATTAGAAGCCACGTGCTGATTCAAATTCCGAACTACGGTTTCAATTTCATATCATTTCAAGATGAACTCGGCTTCACGACGGAGGAGTCATCCGTAACTCAATTCGATAGGGAGTTATTGAAATATCAGAGTCAATTTTTAACTCCACCGAACGAAAAGTGTGTCTTTTAATCTTCGCCCTATCCCTGTTACACGACTATGGGCAAAGAGAGGCAGCTGTCAACACACATTTTCGTCCTACTAGGATTCAAACTCCTAAAAATAGGATAAAATTTTGCTAGGATTTAAACTCCTAAAAATAGGATAGAGTTCTACTATGATTTAAACTCCTAAAGATAGGATCCACAAGCACTATAAATAGCCATTGTAACTCACTATTGTAACACACGATTTACACACAAAACACAGAGGAAAGCACGGAAAATACAAAGGCACAGCTATTGTAAACGATTCGAAAAGGAAATAAAAGGTAGCATCTTTTTTACATTGGTTCGTTCATTTCTCGCATGTGCACGTTATTTTTCTTGAGATTTGGTTCGAATAACCCAAAACGTGGGTTGCGCATATAACCAAAAAGGGGTGGGGTTTCGAAGTTTCAAACCTAGATCTACCCCCGAGGCGTGTTCATTTTTTTTAAATATTTAATTCACCCCCTAAATCATTTTTTCCTACTTTATTATTCTCGTTATATATGCATGTTACTTTCTATTAATTTTATTATATATGTATATATGTTTTTTAGTGTTATATATATATATATATATATTTATATATTTCTTATTTTACATATATAAATACGTATATTACTTTTGATTTTCTTTTTTTTATTATTATTATTTTACTTATATATATATGCTTTTACTTTTTTTATATATTTTACTCATTTATTTATCTATTTTCTTTTTATCTTTATCCTATCTTTTATGTTTTTATATTCTTTTACTTGTTTTATTTATTTATTTGCATTATCATTTTATTTTTATTTAGTTGTTTGCTATGCATATATTAGTGTTATCGTATTTTTTATTTTATATATTCTATTCATTTTATATTTACTTTATTTCTTTCTTAATCTCCTTATTTTATTTGTTTTACTTTATTTATTATTTATTCATCTCTTCTAACCCATATTTTGACTTTTAAAGGGTATATTTGTAAATCCGTCAAAGGTAAGTAATTTTGGATCATTATTTTATCTTTTAATTTAAACTTATAATTTTTTTTAATCAAAGACAACTGGAAATTACGTAGTACCGAAAGGGCAGTTCAAGGGTGCTAATCCTTCATTGACTGTAACCGACTCCCGAACCCGACACATCTTTGGAAAGACGCAGATCAGGTAAGAAATAAGGTATCCGATCAACCTATTTATTCTTAAATAAATGATTGGTGGCGACTCCAATCCACATTTTTTAAGTCGAAGCCCAATTCTGGGGCCCAACTGAAAGACGGTTGCGACAGTCAAGTTTAACGTTAAAATATGTCCTATATAAATAATTTGTGTATTTGAATACTTGTACGTTAATTTTAAATTATGCATGTGATAAAGACATATATACTTAGCATTTGATCCACTTATTGAATTTTTCCTACATCGTATATCTAAATCACCTCAGCTGATACGTTAGATTAGAATATTTTGTTGACGTGGTTTATAATTTGAGGACTTTTGATAAAATGAACCCTTTTTTGTCATAGACTGAAGTTGTAAGCCTTTATAAAAGGGGTCAGCATTGAATAAGTTTAAGCACAACGTTTCAAGTGATAAGCTATTGAGAGAAGGGATATAAGAATGGGAAATTTGGGAGAGATGTGTTGTTCAAACTCAAAGACAGCACTGCCTTTGTTGTGTTTGAACCATGTTTCTTTTGTTTGCAGATCGGTCAGCAGATCTGTCAGATTTTATGAGCAGGTTCTTGGATTTGTTCTCATCAAACGCCCTTCTTCTTTCAACTTTGAAGGAGCTTGGTATGCTTTCTCTACCACTTTTTAATTATGGATTTAATTTTTCTATTTTTTTTATTCTTGGTTTCATGAGCAGGTTCTTGGTTTTTTTTGTAAGGTTGTTCAACTATGGAATGGGGATCCATTTGCTGGAATCAGAAAGTGTACCCCCGGCAAAGAAAGAGAAGATAAACCCCAAAGATAACCACATATCATTCCAGTGCTCCGACATGAAGCAGGTGGTGAGGAAACTGCAAGAGATGGGGATAGAGTACGTGACAGCAGTGCTGGAAGAATGCAGGGTTCGAGTGGACCAGTTGTTCTTCCATGACCCTGATGGCTACATGGTCGAGATTTGCAACTGCCAAAACCTCCCCGTTCTTCCACTTTCCACCACCACCAACAATGACACAAATTGTTCTACACTGGCTGCACTCATGATGGAGAATTTGGTCCTCGACTTGTTGGACATCTCAATTTGATGACATGCAATTTTGGAGAAGGTGTTTTTGTATGAGGCATACATTTTTACCTTGTATTAATTGATTGTATTTTATCAGCGTCATTAGCCAGGATCGTCCTGTCTTGAACAAACAAGGTACTGTCATTTCCTTATAGTTCGATCAATCCGTGAATGGTGGTCATTGTCGTGTCGTATTGTGTACCAAAATGGAAGAAATTCTAGTGCTAAGATTTAAATAATAACAATAATAATGATAATAATAATAATAAACCCCTCATTTTCTTGACAACAATCTCGGTACAGTACAGAACATGATTGTCGGGTCAAATTCTACCAAACTTTGTGTCATGAAGATATCTTTCTCAGTAAAATTGTTACAGTTCAAAATGCAACTGAAAATACATAGGATTGAGGAGGATCATGTTATAGTTGGAGAAGAAGATGAAGAACGGAGGAACGAACAGGAATTGGGAATAGAGAAAGGAGGGTTAGGGATTTTGGAGGATTAGGGATTTACGAGAGAAGATTGGGGATTGAAATCAGAAAAGAGATTAAAGCACGAAGGGAATTTGACTTACCTGATGATGTGGAGGCAGGCCAGGGAGGTTTGGGGCGAGATGAAGTGGGCCAGTTGAGTGGCCCAGTACCTGAAATACAAAAGAAAAAATAATCAGTTTGTTAAGCATTCAGTTATAAAAATTGCCAGCTGGCTTTGTTAGAATTACCAGTACGAATTGTAACTAAATAATACCTCATGTAGAGCACATTTCCTTTATGATTTGAATGAATGAGAATTCACTTTCTGTAATCTCCCTTCTTTCTCTTCTAAAATCTCTTATTCTTCGATAATTTCATCTTCTTATTTCTCAATCCACAACAAATCGGTATCAGAGCTTCGGTTCTGGCAAAATATTGAGCATGGCAAAGAAGAATCAGTCCATGGCTGAAGTAGATCTTTCAGGCCTGCAAAAGCAAATGAAAGATTTAACAGCGTTAGTAAAGAAAGGACAGGATGAGACGAGTCCACCTAAATGGTGGGAAATGCAAGAAAACAGAATTACTGCATTAGAGTAGAGGATGGCTACTAATCAGGGCTATGTTGAAGAACTGTTAAAGATCTTAACAGGTAGAACAGATGAAAATGAACAACCTGCTTGGGAACAGGTACAAACTCTTAACAACTCTAAAGATGGGGAGAAAAATCCAGTTTTGGTGACTGTAGTGAAAGATAAATCACGATTCACTTATAAAACGGATGAACCGGGGATTTTGAAAGATAAACCTGATGCTTGTTTGGCCATTAAGAACAGTTCTAGGCCTGAAAATTTGGTAGGTGAAAACAGTAACACTAGACCTAATATGATGGGAATGGTAGCTGAAAATAAGGGATCAAGAGGTTCATTTAGTAATGCAGGGAATATGTGGCATAGACCTAAAATTGAACTGCCTTTTTTCGAAGGAGTTAATCCGAGGGGGTGGATTCAGAAATGCCATAAGTACTTTTCTATTTGTGGTGTTCCTGTTGAGCAGAGAGTGGAGGTAGCTACTATGTACTTAACAGGCAAGGCAGAAATATGGTTTGATGGATATATTATGCAAAAGCACCATGTTACATGGCATGAGTTTGAAGCTGATCTCTGTCATAGATTTAGTGATAGATGTTTTTCTGATATTATTGAAGAGTTTACTAAATTGACTCAGAAAGGGTCTGTAGAGGATTATCAGGAGAAGTTTGAGGAGTTACAACCTCATATGCTTTTGTAGAATCCTACTTTGACTGAGGAATTTTTTGTGTCACTCTTTGTTAGTGGACTCAGAGATGATATTAAACATAGGGTTAAGGCTTTAGATCCTAAGAATTTATTTGAAGCATGTAAGCAAGCTAAACTCTATGAATTATCTGTGGAGTTTGAAAACAGAAGGTTGAGGCCTTCTTTTAAAGTCCCACCCTACCCAAACCCCAATACTGTTTCTAAACCCTTTGCACTGCCAGTTAATTCAAGACCTACAGCAGTAGTTAATCCTAAACAGAGTCTTATGGAGCACAGAAGGCAGAATAATCTTTGATTTAAATGTGGTAAGAAGTATCTTCCAGGTCATCAATGTAAAAATAGACAGTTGAACATGATTACGGAAAAAGTGGATACTCCTTCAATGGAAATTTTTCCTACAGATTTGGACTAGACTTCACAGACAGAAGAGGAAACTTTGGAAATCTCTATAAATGCTATTACTGGCTCTATTGGTCATACTACATTGAGAATACAGGGCACTATTCAAGGAAAACCATTGAGTATCCTCATTGACAGTGGCAGTACACACATTTTTTTACTCCTAAATGGGCTGATACTGGGATTCAGATTACTACTCCTTATCCTTTGGCTATTACTGTGGCTAATGGCCAACAATTATTCAGTACTGCTAGATGCAATAAAGTAGAGTGGCAAATGCAGGGACATACTTTTTTGCATGATTTTAGGCTGCTTAAACTGTGTGGGAGTGACATGGTTTTAGGAGTAGATTGGATGAAGTTATTCAGTCCAATATTAATGGACTTCAATCATATGACTTTAAGTTTTAATCATGAAGGGAAATAGATTTGTATTCGGGGACAGCAACCCTCAACTGAACTACAGCAAATTTCAGGGGCAACATTACTTAAAATGAGTGCAGGGGATTATGATATTATAGGGCATATTGTCCTATTTACTATGGCAGGAAGTTCTTTTGCTATTCCTATGGAACTTCAACATATATTGGAGAAGTACAGCTCAGTTTTTGCTGAACCTGAAGGGCTACCTCCCCAGAGGTCTCATGATCATGCCATTCCACTTAAGTCTACTGCCACACCAGTTAATTTAAGGCCTTACAGATTTCCTCACAATCAGAAGGCTGAGGTTGAAAGACAGATCACTACAATGCTTTCTTCTTCTATCATTCAGCCTAGCAGAAGTCCCTTTGCCTCTCCTTGCCTTCTTATTAAAAAGAAGGATGGCACTTGAAGGTTTTGTGTGGATTACAGACAGCTTAATAGTATGACTATTAAGGACAAATTTCCTATTCCTATAGTGGAAGATTTATTGGATGAGCTACATAGGGCAGTTTACTTTTTAAAAATTGATCTGAGGTCAGGCTATTGGAAGATTAGAATTAAACCAGAAGACATCTACAAGACTGCATTTAGAACACATCAAGGCCATTATGAATTTAAGGTGATGCCTTTTGGCCTTACTAATGCTCCTGCTACATTCAGGCACTTATGAATGACTTGTTTAATTCTTTCCTTAGAAAATTTGTTTTTGTTTTCTTTGATGATATATTGGTGTACAGCAACAGTATGGCAGAACATGTTGAACATTTACAGTTAGTATTGGAAGTTTTGCAAAAGAATCAATTATTTGCAAAACTCTCCAAATGTTTTTTTTGGACAGGCTAAGGTGGAGTATCTGGGCCATATTATCTCTGCTACAAGGGTGTCTACAGACCCTAGTAAAGTGGAAGCAATGCATACTTGGCCTACACCTAAATCCCTTAAATCTCTTAGAGGATTTCTTGGCTTGACAGGATACTACAGGAGATTTATTAAGAATTATGGCATTATTAGCAGACCATTAACACAGATGTTAAAAAAGGATGGGTTCCAATGGACTTCTGCTGCTTATACAACTTTTGAGGATCTTAAGAAAGCTATGTGCTCTGCTCCAGTTTTGGCATTACAAGATTTTTCTAAGACTTTTTATCTGGAAACAGATGCTAGCTCTGGGGGTATAGGGGTTGTTCTTTCACATGAGGGAAGACCTATTGCCTATTTGAGTAAAGCTTTAAGCCCTACACACTCAGATCTGTCTATTTATGAAAGAGAATATCTTGATATTCTCTTGGTTGTTTCTAAATGGAGACATTATTTGGAAAGCAGACCTTTTGTTATTAAAACTGACCATGAGCCTTTGAAATATCTTTTGGAACAGAAGCTGACTACCACCATCCAGAAGAAAGGGTTGACAAAGTTATTGGGTTTAGACTACACTATTCAATATAGAAAGGGAAAATCAAATGTAGTTGCTGATGCTTTATCTAGAACATGGGAGGATCAAGCTTCTTGTTTGACTATGGGAGTGACAGTTTTGGTGCCTACTTGGGTTCAGGAGATTGAGGAAAGCTATAAGGATGATTCTCTAGCTCAAAATTGAATTTCCATTTTTAACTATTAATTCTGCTGCTGAAAAAAAATGGAAATATACTAAGGCTGTTCTCAAATATGATGGGAGAGTTTATATTGGAGCTAATGGAAGCCTTAGGTTGAAAGTTATACAGACTTTGCATGATTCTCCTCAGGGTGGACATTCTGGGGCACAGGCTACCTATTATAGGATTAGGTCAAATTTTTATTGGCCAAACCTTAAAGCTATGATTGCTACCTATGTGAGGTGTTGTGACGTTTGTCAGCAAACTAAGGTGGAGCATGTGGCAAAACCTGGTTTGCTACAACCCCTACCTGTTCCTAATCAAGCATGGGAAATTATTACTATGGATTTCATTGAGGGTTTGCCTACATCCTTCAAGAAAAACTGTATTTTGGTAATTATGGATAAATTTACCAAAATACAATCATTTTTTATCCTTAGCTCATCCTTATTCTGCTGCAGAGGTTCCTAAACTCTACCAAGACAATGTTTATAAACTACATGGCCAGCCTAAAATGGCCATCTCTGATAGAGATAAGACCTTTACTAGTTTGTTTTGGAAAGAATTGATGAAACAATTGGGTACAAGGACACTGTTCAGCACTGCTTATCATCCAGAAACGGATGGACAAACAGAGAGAGTCAATCAGTGTTTATAGCAGTATTTAAGGGGCATTTGTTTTTTTCAGCCTGGACATTGGGCTAAATGGCTACCTCAGGCAGAATGGTGGTACAACACCACTTACCATACTGCTTTAAAATTAACTCCCTTTCAGGCTTTATATGGGTACAAACCACCTATTATGGTTTGGCTAATGGATACTAAAGTTCAGTCAGTAAGTGAAATTATGTCTAACAGGAGCATATCAGGCAAATGGTCAAGCATCAATTAGCAGTAGCCAGTAACAAAATGAAGCAGCAGGCTGATAAAAATAGATCAGAAAGGGTTTTTCAAATTGGAGAATTGGTGTACCAGAAGTTGCAGCCGTATAGACAA